TTGTACAATAACAGCCTCATACAATTGCCCTTCCCACTGGCTCTGTTCAAAAAGCTGCTCGACATTGAACCAACTCTGGAAGACATGATGGAGTTCAGCGAAGGAGTTGGAGGGTGAGAAAGTATTTAAATTTCACTAAAAGACTGGACAAAATTGTAACTGCTAGATGATTCAATAGCTTCTTTGTTTTGGGTCTTTTTGAAGGCGTCTGCGGTACATACTGGACTACGAAGACGACCTGGAAGACCTGGACATCACCTTCGAGGTTGGTGATAATCTTAGTTATTCTCTGCAGAGGTTTTCATGCAATTTCGCAAACATCTTCATTCCTTACTTTCAGATTAACTGGGATGAGACAGATGTTGACCTTGATCCTAGTAACCCAGGAAAGCTGGTCACAAACCAAAATAAGTAAGCCACTCAAACCAAAAAGCTCTCATTGTTAATTCAGTTAAAGAGGCTGGCTAATTTCGAATCTCTTTCTCCCAAACAGGAAGGAGTTTGTGGATGCCTACGTGAATTATGCCTTCAACACGTCAGTGGAGGGCGTGTTTCAGGAGTTCAAGCGCGGTTTCTTCCTGGTGTGTGACCAGCAGCTGGTGAAGCTTTTTAGACCAGAGGAGCTGCAGGGAGTCTTAGCGGGTGGAGACGTCTATAACTGGGTGAAGCTCAAACAGGTACACTCAGCTAAATGGTTTTCTGTTTCACTGCTACGTTCTTTGAAATTGCTGCAATAAAACTCATAACTCTGTTTTACTCTACACAGAACACACAGTATGAGTGGGGGAGCGACACCCGACACCCAACCATACAGATGTTTTGGGAAGTTTTTGATGAACTTACTGAAGAACAGAAAAAAGATTTTGTTTGTAAGTAATCTCATATATATATGTTTTGACCTAAGGCAATCACTGGCAAACAAAGTCATTGATTCTCTTTTTTATTCTTTTTCATTTGAGTTTATTTATATAAAACAGTCTTAAGGGAAAAACATTTTAAAATAATTTATAAACATTTAAAAATCAGCTCAGATTCCATGTTACCAATGTTTTTCCAACATAGCTATGTGCAATCAACTCATATTTAGTAGAATATAACAATGACAGTCTTTTCTGTTCAACAAACCAGAATGCTGCTTCGAAACTCCACTTTGCTGTGCTTACTCGCCTTTAGTAACACAGACACACAGCTACTTCGTGTGCAAGGCTTTTCATGTGATTAGACCCGGGCATCCTTATGTACCGTTTACAGCTCCACTGCACAGAAAAGCCTCTCACTTTCCTCCTGTCATGCAGCTGATAAAAATGCTGATGAGGGTTTCATTCTTCCCAGGCGGAAATAATACCAAGAGCAGCTGACATCAGAGTTTAGTGTCCAGTGTTAGTGTTGTGTATAGGAAACGCAGTGAAAGTTGCAGGGAAAAGCTTCCAATAGCTTGTATCTCATTACAACAAGTGACACGTATATTATTTTTGAACATGCTTCTTTGTAGTTTGAACACATTTGTCATAAAATCATAAAAATGTTATTATTTGATTGTCTTCTGATTGGATTTTTTTTTTCTTTATGTCTTCCTCAGTGTTTCTGACTGGGTCTCGGAAAGTCCCTGTTCTTGGCATGGACCAGATCAGGATGACAATAAGAATAAAACAAATCCAGAGTGGCTCCCATGATGAACATTTCCCAGAGTCATTGACGTGTCACTCTATCCTTGAATTGCCGTTGTACTCAACCAAAGACATCATGCGGGAAAGACTGACGGAGGCCCTGGAACCACAGAGAGGATTCAGGATGTGAATCTATTAGCATCTCACACACTAACTCAGAGTAATATATTGCAATGCACTGAAAATAAGCTATTAAAACGAAGTGAAGTGAAAGCACTTCAAATATATATCTCTTATACATTTATACTAAACAAATGACCAATTTTTTTTTTGTCTGTGATCTACTGCACTTAGTAATTTTATTTACACAAGGCTTTGCTAAATCAAGTATTTTATTATTATGTCATACAGAGATAAAGTTCAGAGAACAATTTATTTCCTCACATGTTTACATTTTTGGGTTGTCACTTGTTATTCTTAGTGTTGTTTCTGATGTGACTTTGTTCCCTGTCTGTTTAAACAAAGAGTGAAGAAGATTTTTTTTTTTTTTTTTATGAAACATTGACCAGCATATTTAATGTGTATTATTTTGGTGAAGGCACTCATAAAACTGCAATGTTTGTTCAATTGTTCACTGTATGGTGTTTCCTTTATAACTTTGCAATTTTGTATTTTTGTTATGTAAAGCTGCTGGAATGTGCTACACAAATCAACCTGACTTGACTTGACTTAAACTATTCATATGATCACTGAAATATGCCTTAAATGAATATTAGCCACCATGGCTACTCAATGGCAGGGAGTCTGGTGATTATTTTATGTTTTAGAAATTGTAATAATTGCTTATTCTTTGTGATTTTTGACTTTCACATTTGTAACTGTAGAATAAGCTACAATGTGTAGTTGGAAATAATTAAAGACTGGTGGTTATTGGGGAAAAAATGGGATTTGGTTTGAGAAAAATATTGTGATAAATGCAGCTTGCTGGCTACATTCCTTCATGTATTTCATAAAACTAAAAAAAAAAAATAAACATATCAGTTTATATGTGTACATATCAACTGAATAAGCAATAGTCATGAAGTAAAACTAATCATTACAGGTTACTGCTACTGTTTCTGTTACAGTTTGCAGAACATGAAGAAAATAAACAACGTGGTGGAGCCAAATGTGTGAAAAAGGAAAAAACGTTTAAGAGCAAGACTCAAACACAAACGGTTTTCTCTTTTGACTTCTCTTGCTGGAGGGGATAATAAACCACTAGATGGCGCTGTTATTCTGCTGTTAAATATACCGTGAACGGAAACAAAGAACAGGGATGAGATCATCATTTCACACTGATGCAGCTTCAAAGTGTAACTTGCTTAAAATCTCAAACCTTCACGAACTGAGATGCATAATTTTAAATAAATGCAAAGAATTATAATATTTTCGTAAATACTCAACAGTCCCTAATTTATTTTTTAAAAATGCTATTGGGAATGTTAAATAGATGTTATAGTAACGACCAGATTTGCATAAAATACAAGGTGACAGGAGAGAAAGAACCATAAAGCTTAGAGAATCAAAACAAATACCATAGATAGAATTATTGTAAATGATGTGATATTTTGACTACAATTAAATAAATCAATACAAAGGTGATTATATTTTTTAACTAAAAGAAGATGAAATTATCAGAAAGGCAAATTACACATGAAAACAAAATATGAAATTACCTGATACAAAGAGAAGCAACACAAGAGGCAATCAAATTTAGTTCAAAAGGGGGAAAAACATAAACAGAGGCTAAAACAGTCCATGTAACATGTTTACTTAAAACTTATTTGGACATTGAAATAGATTCTATAAAAGACAGTTTCTCTCTGTCTGATTTTACACAAAATTAAACATTTCCTGTTTTGGGTCTTTTAGGGTTTAAAAGTTATTTCTTGATAGATTGTTTTTAATTTCCTTAAGAATTTATTTTACTATCTTCAAAGTCAGAGATCTGCACACATTAAGATTACTATGCCCAGATGAATATGTTGTGGATTTGTAACCTTCTAACAAGGTACTACCCAACATTTATGTCATGTCAGGTACACCTGTAGATGCATTTTAGTGCATCACCTCAAACACATTGCTTCCTTGTGTTGTGATCCCACAGGAAAACCAAGCAAAATCTGACAAGTTAGGAAGATAACTGAGGCCTGAACTACAATTTCCAGATGCTTGAAGATGCCACATTCCTCTACTCATACGGCCATATTCCAGTACAAACACGATGGGAATGCCCACCAGTCACACAATGGCCTGAGACTGGTTCCTTGTTCTATAAATAAATGTGTTTTGGTGCAAAATGTCCCCGTGAACCCCAGAAGAAAAGCACAAATTGAAGCAAGTAAGAAGGTTTCACTATCTACTGTGAAACTAGTTCTGTACCAGTAGGCTGAAAGAAGTCAACATAAAAAGACTGATTACAGTTTTCACTCAAAGGCAAAGGCCTGGATTTTTAAAGATATGTTCCATAGTTTGAGGAAACAAAAATTAATACTAATAGTAAGAGGTAAAAGATGAAGCTTTACATGCCTGAGACAACATCCTAACTGTGAAGTATGGGTTGACAGCATTGTGATGTGAGAGTGTTTATCTGCAGGAAGAACTTGCATTTTACTATGAGAAAATATCAAAGCAAGAGCTAATGACGTAAACAAGAAAAGGTGCCAGGGTTGGGGTAAACATCCACTCCCACACCCCAAGCCTTCCTTCTTGGTTGTGCTAATGAAGAAAAACTCAATCTAGCACACATTATAGTCAAGGCCCAGGGGCCAAAACTGGCCCACAATAGCTTGTTATGTGGCCCTCTATACTCTTTAGGGCAACAGAACCTTCAAGGTTAACAGTTGTGTATTAGATATTATTTTATCAATCAAATCAAAGCAGATTTAATCTGTGCACTGTAAACTTACATCGATGTGAAGAGATGTTCAATATAATTTAAATTAAAGAAGTACTGAACGCAGGCAGCCTCTGATTAATATGCCTGCAATCTGCTAATATTTTATCAGTATTTTCTGCCACAACTGGCCCCTTGAGGACATTCATGATCTTGATATGGCCCGAGCTGTAAATAATTTTGACACCTCTGATCTAGCAGACCGAATAGAAACAAAACAGATACAAACGACCCGACTGTGAATCACCTTGCTCATAATCAGACCGTGTATCACTAAATATGGGGTGTTATGGGTCGTTTTGTCTCGATGCAAATCAGAGAACAAACTCACAGGAGTCCGTTACATAATTTCTTGGACTTCACATGAGTTCATTCAGTTATTTTCCACTCCGCTACGAGAAGCTCGCCGCCGCTGGACGCCGCGCCGCACCGCGCACGGGCCGCGAGGGCGAGCTGGAATGCATTGACGTCAGAAGGAAGCTGCTGGGCACTGCGCGTGCACGCCCAGTTCTCATTGATTTAGCCGCTGCAGAAGCGGGCACGCGGCTCTTCAGCTGGAGAGAGTCGTATCAAGAAGAAGAAGTGGAAAAGAGTGGCTCCTCCAGGAACCGACATGGAGCGCAGCGAGGGAGCAGAACGAGGAGGCGATGCCGCTCGTCTCCGCGTCTGAATTCAGCGGTGACACCGAGGCTTTGGGAGGCTGCGGAGATACGGAGCCGCTTGCAGTTATCACGGGACATTTGCGCAACAATGGTAAGTTAGCGCCGCTGCTGCTGTTGTTTGTCCGACGTTGTAGCGGAGTGATGTTGCTGCGGAGGAGCCGATGAGCTGTTCAGCCAGGATGGTGACTGTGTGCCAAGTTGGGACTGCAGTTTGAACAGCTGGCCTCAAGTCTAGCTGAAACAAACTGATGGACACTAACCCTGTTAGTGTCATTTAAAAAGGAGGCCTGTCAGTGTGAACTTGGCCCAGTGAAGCTGTTTAAAGGGGTGTTAAAGAGGCTTGCAGCTCTGCTTGATGACGCTGCAAGTGATGAAGTGCTGCTGATGATGATCAAACTGATAAAATGTATTTATTTGAAAAGGACATTTGCTTATAAAACTCAAAAAGGCTGTTATGGAAAGGCAAATTAAATAACACGAATAAGTGGTTAAATAAATTACAACTAGATTGACTAGATTCAACCAAAGGTTAAACGTAAGATAAAAACAACAGATTGCAAACTGCACATATAGAAAATAAAAAAATATATATATTTAAAACGTAACCACAAATATGCTGAACATGGAAAACATCTGGATCAGATTAAAGCAAAAGCTCTTTAAGACACAATATATGTGCTGAAAGATGCCAGATAATCACTGGAGATGCACAATTATTAATTATTACGATTATCAAATGCAAATTAACTCAAAAATAGAGGGGAATAAAGTGGGAAAGAGTACACAATTGATTCACTGCTGCATTTGTAAAGCCAAAAATCCAGTAAGAGTAACAAATGTTACAAGTGGAATGGTTTGGCATTGAGTGAAATAGTAATTTGATCCCTGAGCAAAACATGAATCTGAACTGTGTGAAGAAAGCTTCCATGATATGCACAGCAGCAAGACATTTTCCTTACTTGGTCACCAGATGTGTTTAGTCCTTAGAAGATATTTTGGTCCACTCCTCTGTATATAAACTCTCTAATTCTTTGGGTTTCTTGGCTGGAGCTTGGTAACTCAAAGCTTCAGCTCCTTCCTCAGATCTGTTGTTAGACTGAGGTCTGGAGGGGGTGTTGTAAGCCACTCCATGACCTTAATGTGGTTCTTCTGGGGCCTCTCCTTTGTTGTGCTGGTGGTACTAATTTAATTTGACTCAAACACTTTGCCTTAAACCTTCTCTGAATCAGACAGCTAATACACCTGCTCATAAGATCAAAAATAGCATAAAGATAATTAAAAATAAACAGAGATATGAATTAAGCTATAATGGAATCAAAATGACTGAACAAAACTTAAGTAAACATTTTTAAGGGAACATATTATCATGAACTAAACCTTTTAGAGTCCTTTGGAAGATAAATGAGGCCGAAACATCACAGATTGTCAACTGTACGTAGTAATGTGTTTCTTCCATATTCCTACACGGAGCAGCACCTTCAGGTCCATGTCTGTTGTCCTGGCGTAAACAAACAAAAACAATGACGTCGTTGCTCCAGATGTTGACGGTTGCGTTGATGAAGGTGGTGGTGGAGAACTCTCCACTCTGGGGATGGAGGATACAATCATGACATCACCAGGTTTAGTGTCGTCTCCTGACACAAACACATGCTCACTTGGACTTGAGCGCCGTTATACATTACGGTTTCTTGTTACAGTATTGATTCGACGTGCCATTTGTGCTTCGGATGGTGATATTTGAGACAAACTCAAGCACAAGCCCTCCAACATCAGAGACGATAACGGAATATTTCTCCCTCTGCTGCTCACATTGTGCTGTAATTCTGTAATCCGCTCTTGGCACTTAATCTAAACTTGTTCTGTCGTCTGTCTGCCATTGTTAAATGAAGTGGAACATTGGTCTACTTTTGGTCCGGTGTCTCGAGGGATGGGGCATTAACAGCAGCTGACCTCGTCTAAAGCCTTTCTCCCTTTGGGCCAGAGGCCAAAGTTGTCCTCACAGTCATTTCGTTTCATTGTTTTGTCTTTTTCTTTATCCTGCTAGGCAACCCCCCAGCATTGAGGAACTCTTGACTCAGCCAACGTCCCTCCACCCTTTTGTTTCAACCATGGACTCCTCAAGGGATTTGACCTCAGCCCTGGACGGGCCTGCGGACCCCAGAGACTTCTCCGGTCGCTCCGATCTCAGCGGCCTCTACCATCTGGGCCGGACGCTGGGAAGGGGCCACTTTGCTGTTGTGAAACTGGGCCGTCATGTCAACACGGGGCAACTGGTGGCTGTGAAGATGATCGATAAGACTAAACTGGATGTCATGGCAACAAGCCACCTCTTACAAGAAGTCAGGTGAGAATTGATCATTACGTTTTAAATTTGTAATCAACTATTCCACGAGAAACGGATTCAAGAAATATTAATGATATTGTCAAAAAAGACATGAGAGAACAAGTCTATTTGAATGCATGCTGTGCTTGTCCTAGTGAAATTAGATAAAAATAATTTATATTTTATTTGAGGATACAATGAAAAAACTGGTGATTTTGGGGAATTCAAAAATAAGATAAAATTTCACAGTGTAGAAATTCTTTATTTCAATACAATTTACCACATAGTGCTTTGATATCAATAGTTGTTGGGGAAACGCTAATTGCTTGGCTAGTGACCTGAATCAGACGATTTTCAAATTTATATTAAAATCTCTCAATAATCAGATTAAAATTTTTCCACACTGTAATCCCTCCACCCACGTCCTCATGTCTCTTTTTGTCGGAGGAAGGTCAGACTGGTGAGGCGTTTAAGCATCTTGGTGTATTTTGCACAAGTGATGGTCAGGTAGAGTGAGAAATGGAAAAATTGAGGCTTTGTCCTTTTTTTTATTGCTTCTTTAATTTGTAATGTTAAAAAGAAGAATGCAATGAAAGACAAAACTCTCGATTCACTGCATATTCGACCCTGACTGATCATTATGAATTATGAAGGGCTAAATTTATTCAGTTACTTGACTCCACTGCAGTCACCATGTTTTACATGGAGCAGTTATCACCTCCAGAGTGATGAAGGGAGACAGAAGATAATGAGAAAGAAATCGAAAAAAAAAAAAACTGTAAATGCTAGAAGTTACGGAAAGAAAAAGAAAACATAATCTGCAGTAAGCTGAATTATCTTGGCACAACAGTTTGACATCAACAGCAGTTTAAATTGATTTGATGTAAATAAATAAATAAATAAATAAATAGAGATTCATGGACAGTGGTCAGAATTTGCTTGGTTCTCTTTGATTGGTGATCAGCATGTCAGATACTGAGAAACAAAGTTTTCCTAATCAGATCTAAGACCTCCTGTTCAAAGGGAGTTGTTCCTTTCTACTGCAGCCACATACATGCTTGGTATGAGCGATTGTCTCAAAGTTAATGACACGATGCATTCATCTGTCCTCGGTGGCCATATGCTCGTTTAGGAGGGATTGCTGCAAAGTCGGTGACCCAATGCAATCAGCTGAGTTTCCTAAAATAACTAGCCTTTTTTTTTTACTAACTAGCCTGACAAACAAGCAGCATTCATGCAAGAATGACTCTTGCCTGAGGTGTTGGTCATAAAATTGGTTTTGTATAAATAAACCAAATGTAGTTTAACTGGATTAAATTAGCATGGTGCCCTTTATTTTTAGAATTTAATGACAAATCAGATAAAAATAAAGGATATTTTCATGTATACATAGTCTCACCTCCTGAGACTAAACAACAGCTGGTAACTTGAAGCTACAGACATCCAGACAATTCATTGTCATTTAGTGTTGAGAGTGGGCCGAAAAATGTGCATGCAAGTGAGCATGCACAGTTCTTTCTGTAGCATAATGTTGTGCTGTTAATAATAAAACATTCCTATTGTGAAGAAAACCGCCATCTGTCCACCTCTTTAACAAAAGGAATCACGAAAACATGACAAATCCACTCTGCAAAATGTACTTGCATATACAAAGCACTGTTGTTTACATTTACACTAGAAGCACAGTTTGTATTTCTTGAATTGCAACATAAATCAACTATTGTTGCGCATTTGTAGGTGCATGAGGCTGGTGCAGCATCCCAACGTGGTTCGGCTCTATGAAGTCATCGACACTCCCACCACGCTCTACCTGGTCATGGAGCTGGCCGAAGGCGGTGACCTCTACGATTACATCCTGCGCCACGAAGGAGGCGTGGTGGAATGCACCGCCAAGCGTCACTTTGCCCAGATTGTGCGAGCGGTGTCGTACTGCCACCAGCTGCACGTGGTGCACCGGGACCTGAAGCCGGAAAACGTGGTGTTTTTCCCCCAGCAGGGCGCCGTCAAGCTGACAGACTTTGGCTTCAGCAATTTATTCCAGCCTGGGATGATGCTGGCCACCAGCTGTGGGTCGCTGGCTTATTCTGCTCCAGAGATCCTGCTGGGAGAGGAATATGATGCTCCAGCTGTGGGTGAGAAACTCAATCGTGTTTATTTCCACTAGAGAATGTTGGATTTGGATGATTGATTGTTTTTATTGTGGGTCTAAATCATTTTTGAAACATCAAAAACGCTTTAGTTTTTGAGGCATTCTAAATGTTTGCTTTAAGAAAACATTTATTTTTTCCTGACCAAAAATTTCTGCAAACTCTGAAAACTATCTACTATTAAGCTAATTCCGCAGTCCTAGAATTGCAACTGACTCTCTTTGTAATTTTTTATTTCACTTTTGTACTCTAAAACTATTACATTTATTCAAATCTAATAGTCTTAGAGTTAATTCCTAGGCAACAAGTTGTGGACAATTCGGAAAAATGGTTTGATTGTTGTTGCAGCCAATATTTGACATATGAACTAGATGCTAATGTCAGTTCACATTTTGCAGCCCATGCAGGGCTTAAAAAAAGTGAAATAAAGCTTGACCCCCTTTATTTCAGGGGTCAGTCAACAGCCAACAAGATAAAAACAGCTTAAAAAATGATGAGTGTATGCATTCATGTATGCCCATGGTGGATTCATGAGAGTGCATTTCCAGTGCACTTAACTTATGAATGAAGTCTGCTGATTTAATTTGTCACTTATGGGAGCTGCTCAAAAACATTACAGTAAAGTAAAGAATAAAACCAGAGAGAAGGAGAGTTATTGTAGCACTTTTTGGCTTAAAAAGCTCTAGTTGTTACATTGGTATGATGGATGCAGTTGTCAGCAGCTCTAGTTCTACTAGAGCTATCTCAATAAAAGATGGCCCTCAAAAAGGCTTTTTTCCAGAGCAACTTCTCGAATTGGTAACTGTAAAAGGCTGCGTGTCCGTCTCTGCCCTCCTGACCCTGCGTGGGTATTCCTCTCGTGTTTTCGTGTTCGCTCCTCTTCGTTCACGTGCCGACGTGTGAATGCGCCGGGGTCTGAGCGCGTCTGCTGAGGATTAGTGTTTGTATTTGGGTCAGCCCGTTGTGAGCCAACCGGACTCGTTCTGCACTGCAGCCCTCCCTGCAGAGCAGGTCGCAGAGCGGAAACGGGAAGCTCTGTGCCTTTTCTGCTCGCTCTGATTGGGAAGGCTGCGCTGATTGTGGGATTTGACATTGCAGGAACAGAAGGGGAGCTGAGGGATTTGGTTTTATGTGTCCCATTTGTGGGGTTGGAGGAGGAGGAGAAGGGAGAGGCGGAGGGGGAGGGTGTCTGCCTCAGGGAGGTAGTGGTCTTATCTGCTAAGCTGGAATAGGCTGGATTTTTGTTTTGGCAGAATCTGGCCCACTTCTTTACTCTGGTTGCATCTGCACTGAATACATGCAACCCCACTGCAATTAGTGCTCTCTTGTAGAAGGACATTTGGTGCATTTAAGTTGCAAATGGGCTCCAAATGACAGCATGTGTAATTTAAGTGCTTGTGAATTGTCTGTTTTTATTTTTCCATGTGACCTTGCCCCGTGTAACAATGGGAGGGGTGATGAAGAAACGCAGCTCAACTTTCAGCACGACTCGCGAGTTGCATCAGTTCCTTTTTCCTCGGGTCGGTTCCTGTTTCTGAAGGGACGTCCTATTAAATAAATTTTTTTATTAGCTCCTCTCAAGAACATGCTCTGCTTCGTTGCAAAGGAAGTGCACTTTCTCTGCCCTATTTTCATATCGTCCAGCGTGACTCAGCCTGTCGATAACACGGCTTTGTCATCGCTTCTATAGAAACGTACTCTTCTGACTCCCTCGCTCATGAACACATATGTATTTATGGATGTAATCCTGAGCTGCACGCCGGAGGAGATGTCCCTCAGAGATGTCTCGGCTTAGTGAGATGACTCATAAACCGTCACAAACACCGCGACTGCTCTCTGTGCCGCTCTAAGCAGGCCTCCTTCACTGTACATGTGCGCTCTGTTTGATGCGTGTTTCATAAGAGGCAGAGAAAGAGGGAAGATGTTCACAAGGCGTAAAATGCAGTAATATGAGGTCGGTCCATAACTTTATACATGCAATCGACTGCAAACCTAAGAGAACTGCTGACAGAGTTGTGAAATTCTTGTAATCCTGTCACATTCTTAAAGGGATAAGTTAATTTTTTTTTATTAGGGTTGTGTTGACTACTTTTGAGTAGTCACCATCTTTTCTACATTAGACATCACTTGGAAGAATTTCAAATTGGAGCAGCTGGGACACTCCCTATGTACAGAATGAAGATAAATAGGAGAAATGTAGAACTCCCCCTAAATCAGCTGATTAGCAAATACAGCTGATTTAGCTGCTCAATTTTCTCTTAAGGGGAGTTGAAAATACTGACTGCCTGTAAATACCCCCCTCACACACAATCCTCACTTTGAAAAGTTCAAACTTTGCCATTTTTAAAATGGCAAAATCTGAGCAGTGGGATGAACCGAGTCTGACAGTTTGCGTCCTCAGACTCAGCTCCTCGGGTTAAAGTCTTTGCAAGTGTGAAAACACCTCATGACATCCTCTTAGCTCGCTGCCACAACACATGCACCTCTCATTTCTTTCTTGTTTTGTGGAAGCTGAAGGTCGGTTGCGAGGGGCACATGGAAAGCCCCCTGCACTCAGATCCTGTTATAGATCAGGAAAGAGCAGCACAGCCGGAGAGGCATTTTCTTCTTTTTTTTTTTTTTGTAACAAAACCCCTTTGTGTTTTCACATCAACCTGAAGGCTGGTGATTTGTTTATACCAACAATTAATGTTCCAGTGCTTGGAAAGGACACGATCTTCACAGCAACACAGTATAATAATAACAAAAAGAAAAAGTTAGCTTTGTAACAAAATCTACAAACAGAATTTTTTTACTACTCAGCATGTCCTGATGTTTTGTCTTATGTTCGCTTTGCACTAATTTGGAACGTGGACATAAGACAAGGAT